GACAGTGATGGAGAGTGATAGCTGAAAGAATGGAGGAGGGGAGAGGCAGTTAATGTTTGAAGTGGGATCAGCATCGTATCTGTGAACTGTGGTTGAAGTGGTCACATCATTAAAAAAAAGTCCTGGTCAGTTATATTAAACTACATTTCAAAGGTACTCTTCTCTTTGATGTACATTCGAGTATGTGAAAGCATCCCTGAAGATGCAAGAGATAAATTGATGTGGTGCTAGAGCCGATTCTAAGTGGTCCATGGATCTAGCTTTAGATAATAATCTGAATGTTAAAAAAGTATTCCCTTTCTAATTCTATTTTGAGCTGTATGTTTAGAGACAAACAGAAAGTCTCATAGAGGCTACATGTCTTAAACTTCTCACTAACACTTGGTAAACAGTACCCTTACATTTTTTTTTTAAACAAAGATTAAGCTCAGAAACTCAACAGGGAGAGTTCAGCTGGAATTTGGTAGCTTTATTCTATTTTTCTTGCATTTTTCCAAGTGTATCCTTTTATTTTTGGTTAGTGAGTTACAGAGTTTCTTTTTCAAATAAATTATTTAAACAAATTGAGTCGGTAGAAAGAAGCATGGCAGGCAGATTAGAGCCAAGGTGGTGAAAGGCTGTGGCACAGTTGTGGAAGGAGTACGGGGATGACAGAGGTTCAGTGAACAAGGGCACAATGCTTGGGATGAGAAAATCTGGCTGTGAGTCCCCGCTGCACCACCAGCTAGCTCTGTGACCTTGGGCAGTTCACCTAGCCGCTCAGAACCTTGGTTTTCTCATCTGTACAACAGGAACAAGAATCTCTATGCTAGCTTCTTTGCAAGCTTGTGAGAACTGGATGAAGGAATGAGTAAAGTGTGAACAACTGTAGACTTTATATTACCATCTAGTGAAGTTGCAGGGAAGCAACAAGGATTTATGGTGAATGTTTTAGGATGGGGAGGGAGATTTGCCAATATCAACAGAGTTCTTACTATGGGCAAAGTGCTGTATATATATATGGGAATAATTAGGTTTATTTATTTATTTGTTTATTATTTTTAATGGATGTACTGGGGATTGAACCCAGGACCTCATACATGCCTAGCACGCACTCTACCACTGAGCTATACCCTCCCCCTCACAGTGCTGTATATTTTTGAAAGCAGAAAAATGAATACAATTTGGCCTCTACCCTCAGCGTTTATAGCTTGTCTATGGACTAACACATAGATGTGTATTATTTTGTAGACTGTGATACATATTATAAATGGGCTTAAAGCCCTAGGCAAAGGGAATTGGAGGAGGTTGATTACCTGAGCGTATGTGATAAGAACAGCTATCATTTTGGAGTCTCTTCCAAGGGCCAGGGAGCCTGCGAGGTATTTTGTCACATTAGCTCATATATTCCTCACAACTGGGGAATCGAGATCAGAGAGGCTAAATAGTGGTTCCACGGTGAATCATGGTGATGATGTTCATAAATAAATACTTCTTAGATGCCCAGCGCTGTGCATCTTCCTATACATTATCTCATTTCAGCCTTACCACAAGCCTATGGGATAAGAGACTTGCAGAGTTAGTGAATGGTGCTGTTGCAATTTAATTCCGGGGTGGTGTTCGACTCCAAAACCCATTTCCTCCAGTTCTACTGCTTCCAATCAGCAGCTGAGTTGTGGGAGCCAGACGCTGGCTGTGCACAGGGAAGGTCTATTCGGGGCTCTTGTGAAATGTTAGGTTCCAATCTCAGCCGGGCTTCTCTAAGTTTACCTATGTCACAATCCCTCTTTCTGTCTCACAATATATGCTCCTAAACTAAAGCATCAAGTCGTAGGACCATGTAAGTGGCTAACACAGCTGCATGACACCATGAGGTGATGTTGGAAAGGACATTTCAAAAGGAGGCAGAAGAACTGGGTGAGAGGGCAAGGTAGGATGTCTACATCGAGTTTGTGGGGGCTAGAAGCTGTTATTTTCCGTAGGAATTTATAGGATCAATTCTCGGTAAACACAAAGGGAACTTTGGCTTGTGCTAAATCCAATCTCGTTTTAGAAAGAGAAGAGGTTACGGACCAAAGGTCCCTCAGCAGGCAGAGGAATCAAGAGATGGTACATCGCCTGTGTCTTGATGCTCATTTTCCAAGAGCAGTGGTTTTCAAAAAGTGCTCTCCAAATCAGCAACCCCAGCACTTCCTGGGGCTTTATTAGAAATGCCCACCTCAGACCCATAGAATCCAAAACTTCCTGGGTGGGGCTCTGCAATCTGTTTTAACAAGCCTTTCATCACTCTGATGCATGCTTAGGTTGGAGGTTGACTGCAAAGTATCTGCTATATATTATGCTGCACGTGGCAGAAAGAACAGGGGAGATTTAAGTCATTCCCCCGCCTCCGCTCCCAGCTCTTTTCCCTTTGTTCCCAGGTGAAGGGCTGAAGAGGCTCAGTGTAGCAACTTCCTGAGACCTATAGGACACTGAGGTATCTTAGACAAGGGGATGAGTCTATGGAACAAATACTGGGCTGGGGTTGGTGGCCTGGGTGTGCTCCCAGGTAGCCAGAGACTAGGTGTTGTCGGGCCATCAGTGTGCGGGAGGAAGTGGAGGAGAGAGGCTGGGCCCTGGGATACCGTGCCAGGTACCCCCGCCCCACAACCCCACAACACAGAGCAGCCAGGGATCTAGAGAAGGCTCTTCTCCACACTGTCCCTCCGCATCTGTGAGCCACGAGTGGGGGCACTCAGAACCCTGCAGTGAATTTCTCCAGAGGCAGGAGGCCTATGGAAGGAAGGGCAGAAGAGCAAAGCTGGTGGAACGCAAAGGTTTGTGGAAGGTACCTGTGTGCCCCTGCGGACGATTTTTTGCTTTATGCTGAAGGGACGATAACATTTGAGGTGGGGAAATAAGAGAAATTGATTTGTACTTTAGCAGTATCTCTGGCAGCAGCATCAGGGATGGACTAGAGGAAGCCAGAGACTTGTGGGCAGGCGGTTATCACACTAAGTCCGGGTGGGAAATAGAGGCTGTGTGTGGGGTAGGAACAGATTTAAGAGAATACGGATTGGGATATGCCGGGGAGGCTAGGGACGCGGTAGGACCGACCTATTGGGACTTAGTGACATGTAAGTATGGTGCCAACATCCTGGCTTCTGAAGTCCTGGAATCAGTTGGCTATAAGATCCTGAGCGCAGGTCAGTGATCATCCCTCCTTTTTCCTTCTTATCCAAGGAGCCTGGGCTTTGAAGCCTGACAGATGAGGGTTCAAAACTCCCGCGGGAATGTAGCTTCCACCAGGGCGGGATTCCATCTCTTTGGTTCACAGCTACATGCCGACGACTGAACAGTGTTTGGCACTTAGTAGGCGCTCTATAAACTTCTGTTGAATAAATGAATCATTGACGATGGCTGTACTCCAAGCCCCCTTTCCTCCTCTGCATACCCTACCTGGAACAGTTGTTGCATAAGATCACCTAGCCCAGAACTTGATGCACAGTAGGCGCTCAACAAGTTGTGTTTTTCCCTTCGTCTCTACAGCAGAATGGGTCCCTAGGCGACCGTAAAGGAGGGGTTTCTGTCCCCTGCGCCTTCTCCACCTCCCTTCGC